ATCCTCGACGAGAAAATTCGTCGCCCGTGGCGGGCGCGGTGTGTGGCATTCGGTTAAGATGGCTGGGGATGTGCTTCCCGTGAAGCTATGGACGTACATTTTGAGCTGCACCGTGGCAGGAAACAAAGAAGGGGTCTGCCCGGGGGCGCGCTTGGAACCAGCGAGGCTGGGCGTATATCACGTCAGAGACACAGTGCTCGTTGAGCAGAGAATGCGTTAAGAAGGTCCAGGGGAAGTAAAAGTGTTTTAGACACGCGAGCCTAGAACGTAGGGTCGGTGACCTTAGTAAGTTTTTTTAAGCAGAGAGATACGACAGCCCGCTGCAGACCCAGCAGTGTAATTTCCATTATAAGTATTGCCTACGACTGGATTAGCAGCGGTTGAAATGAAATCACGCCCTCCACGAGGACACCACTCATAGACTAAAATGCCGAAGATGTGCACAACTCGATATGAGCAATCTCTGGCTCATGGCTGTTACAATTTGGTTGCAGCAAAAAAACGTTTTATTTTTGCGTCGCTAAAGTCTTTAATCATCAAAATAGATTGTGCGATGTCATCGTAGAAGTAGACGCCCGCCATGCCTGTACTTCGTGCTGAAAGCGGCTCTATCATACCCATTAGTCTCAAAATTGAGTTGCCCACATTAAACGGCAAGTTTGAAGCGTGCAGTGCTGCACGACCCTACCTTTTAATTTGGTCAGGTAATGAAAGAGGGTATTTGTGTCAAGGCAATCTTGCTAGGGACCTCAATCGGCATGAGTTTTTGAACTGAATATAACCCTTTTAATTTACAAATACTGTTTATACCCGGTGGACGCGCCGGTCAGCTATCCTTTTACATCGGAGTAGGTCGGTCTTTGGCCGTCAGTGAAAGCCGGCGAGAGACAATTGAAACTCTCGAGATCATTCTTGGCTGTGGCAACACGTTGACATTATTCCATATTCTTGACGTGCGTTCAACGTGGACATAAGATATACTTTTACTGTGTCCACGAAGTTGCCCCATGGAATCGATCATTATTGAGGCTCATAGCAGCTAAATAACGGATTGCTACTCAAAATGGAAAATCGACTTAGCTGAAAAGTGATTAAATGCTATATCTGATTCGATCGAGCGCTCCGAATTCGAGAGTTTTGTATTAGCGGGATTGTTTGAACAGTGTCAATACACGTACTAAAAAGCAGAACTTGATCGAAAAACTTATACTATAATTCAATCCCGGCTACGGCCGAAACCGTCAAATTTAGCAGGGGCTCAAATAAGGCTAAAACCCCTAGCTGGGTAGGCTAAAAGATTTCTTAAGAACATTTTTACTCCGAGAAGCATGCGTTTCATTCTCTTCTGTCGATTAGCATCTACATATACTGTGTTTCAGCATAGTGTCGCCATATGCTCGATATCCTCGAGATAAGTACGAACTGTTAAGTACCTTCTCACCCTTCACATTTTAACATAAAAAGCCTTTATTCATTCAATCTTGACTATCTCATATTATTGCAGAGTTCATCTATAGCGACGATGATGAAGGATTTGCGTTGGACGTGCCTATAGTCGTTACTGCACATGCATTTAATGACAATAATACCGAAGA